AAACTTTTACTATTAAGTCCTACAACATTGATTCATGACAACTTTCAAAACTGGGGTGTGTCGATCAAAATAGATTTTTCAGGGGCAATAACTCCAAAACAAGTTGATTATTTTTTTCCCTGTTTCTGAGTAGATATATCTGGTCATGTGGATCATTAATGCAATCTTCACTTTTAATCTATGTTGCTTTGGTTTTAATAAAGATAAGTTAATACATTGTTGCTTTAACAAGGAAACTATGCAAACCAGTCAAGGCTCATGTACTATAACTAAAGTTGTAGGGCAAAATTACTTCGGGAAATAACACATGGCAATGTTACCTTTAAATATACCTGAACACAAACTATGTGAAAGTTTAAATGAACAATAACGTGGAGGCTGAACCATATACCTGTAACCGCCATGGAAGTGGGATGTGCATATTGAAATTTGATGCGACTGTCGTACAAGTGAGAGCTTTAGCTAGCTATAAAATCAGGTTCAATCCACTATTTTCTACATAAGAAAATGCCTGTACTAAGTCAGGAATATGACAGTTGTTGTCCATTCGTTTGATGTGATTGAGCTTTTGATTTTGCCATTTGATAGGGGACTTTCCGTTTTGAATTTTCCTCGGAGTTCAGTATTTTTGTGATTTTTACCTTTTACTACTGTAAATTCAGAAATTATTGCGATGTTTTTATTATTGCGAAAAATGTGACAGGGTTATAACAAGGATTTGTATAGTAAGAAATCAGATGATCCCGTTCTTATACAATTACATATTAACAAGCATTCTGTGAGTATTGCCCGCCCTGAAAACACATAGTCCCTTACCCGTTAAAAAATCATTGTACAAGAGCAAAGTGCTATACCTTGTCATGGTGTAAACTATATAACAAGTATCCATTCAGTATCTTCAAGCATGATGATTAAAAATGTCGAAAATTGATTAATGGGGTAAATTTTTTAAGTCATAGGAGCATAACTATGCACTAAATCATTATACTGGACTAAAATTCGAACTTGATTTGTAACTTGTCCTAACAAGAGTGCACACGCTGAAATGTCTCGCCTTCTTTACTTACCATTGATATTATGTTGATAGTCCTAAATAGAAAGCTTTACTACAACTATTACATAGACTTAAAGGGGCACTAGCTACGAGATATATTAAAAATCTAATATATTATTGTGTTTGCTCAATCATTAATGAAATGCAAATTGTGAAATCATATTTCGCTTTTACTTTTAGCAGCCAGTATGGTTTAATTTTGTCAAAATAAGCTAAAATACATTGATTATGAATTATTCACTTGCAAGTGAATTATTCGACCTCATTGAATCCGTATTCATGTGAACTTCAATTTAACCCCTTAGCTTGAGATGGATAACACGTGAATTGTATGTGTAAAGTTATTTAAAGGAAAAGAATGTCAACATTGAAAGTTAAACAAAGGTAAATCATTAAGATTTGATTGACTGATTCAATCCACAGAAAATCATTCTTAAATGTACACAGGTAAAAACGATGATAAACACTTATTTTTCATCTATAATATGAAATTAAATAGACCTAGAATAATCCAAGAGCACGAGTTTGCTTAATCTATTTATATCTATATTTATGTTTACATCGCTTATATGGTCATCGGATGACTTTAGAGGTCAACTCGATAATTAATAAGATGGCGGTCTAGACTAAAACACACGAAACGAAGCTACGTATTTTCATACCTGTGCCCTGTTAATCGTTTATTTTAGACTTTTAATAGTTTGGATAAATGTTTTACATTGTTATAAATCAAATATTAGAATTTGATTAAAATCGGTGAATATGAATTTGACAGCTAGTACCCCTTTAATATGACCCAAGAAAATGAGGTCAAGGTCATATATACCAAGCATGAAATACATTTACAACTTACAATCATTCAATACACTAAATATAGCTAACTTATTGCTTAAAGTTTTTTAGAAACAAACTTAACCAGGAAAACTAAAAATTGACTAATGAACCATGAAAATGAGGTCAAGGTCAGATGATATATGCCAGACAGACACAAACACGTTAAAATCCTTCAATCTAACAAATATAGGTGATCTATTGCTTATAGTTAAAGAAAAACAGACCAAAACACAAAAAACTCAACACTGAGAAATGAACCGTGAAAATGAGGTCAAGGTTAAATAAAACATTTGAGACTGACATGTACATCATAAAATATTTCTTTACAACAAATATAGTTGACCAAACTCAAAAACTGAACTTTGACCACTGAACCATGAAAATGAGTTCAAGGTCGGATGACCCTTACCAGTTAGTCGTGTACACCTTACCACTTACAATCATTCCATATACCAAATATAGTAAACCTACTGCTTATAGTATCTGATATATGGACTTGACCAATATCTTCAAGCACAAAGAAAAAAAAGTGTGGGAAATTGATTTGTGGACTGACAGATGAACAGACAGACGGAGTGCAAACCTAAAGACTCACTGAAGGGAATGTGGCCAAAGAACCTCCATGGAAATGAGATGTGCCATAGTTCATACCTATAACGCAGGTTCTTCATCAAGTAAGCTAATCACAAAAATAACATTGTTGATGCCACTGCTCCCGCCAACTCTGGAAACAGCATGCCCTTGTCTTGGTTCCCCCCCCCTCCCAAGTTAATTTCAGGGGCAATAATTCCAAACAAATCAACATGTTTTTCTAATGTATCCAGGTTTGAACAGTTTGTGTAATGAACAGTTTTACCTTGTTAATTTTTTCTCTCCTTGCTCTATTTATCTATATTTCATTTTCACCATTATATTCTATTTTAAGCCATATTGGCCATGTTTGTTGATGAGTCTAAAAACTTCAAAGACATCCTATAAATGAAGCAGAAAACTTTACTTCTATCCACATACTAGTGTCAGGCATTAGGTTTTAAACAAAATTTCAAAGACAACAAACAACAAGAAATGATTGTAACAGGATGCTGTTACGAAGTCTCCCAAACGAAGCTCCCATAATTTGTAATTCCCAGGGTCGCCTGACATTGGGCAAAGTCCAGTGAAAATTGGTTTGGTCCAGCAAAGTTATATGCATTAGTGATGCCTGGGGACTAACCCTGTATATCATTCAAATCATCTTGGCATGACAAACCAGAATATATATGGTTTAGGGGTGGGGATCTCGACCACATACAAGATACTAGAACATTGGGGGTGGGGGGAACCCCTGGGGACTGACCCTATATGTCATTCAAATGTTAGAAACATGACGAACAGGAATATATATGGTTTAGGGGTGGGGATCTCGACCATGTACAAGATATTGGGATTTTCTCAAATGGCAGGGGGTCGGGATGACCCCTGAGGACTAACCCTGTATATCATTCAAACCATCTTGGCATGACAAACCAGAATATATATGGTTTAGGGGTGGGGATCTTGACCACTTACAAGATATTAGAACTTTCTTAAATGGCAGGGGGTGGGGGTGACCCCTGGGGACTAACCCTGTATTTCATTTGATGTGCTTTCTCATGACAAACCAGAATATATATGGTTTAGGGGTGGGGATCTCGACCATTTACAAGATATTAGAATTTTCTCAAATGGCAGGGGGTCGGGATGACCCCTGGGGACTAACCCTGTATATCATTCAAACAATCTTAGCATGACAAACCAGAATATATATGGTTTAGGGGTGGGGATCTTGACCACTTACAAGATATTAGAACTTTCTTAAATGGCATGGGGTGGGGGTGACCCCTGGGGACTAACCCTGTATTTCATTTAATGTGCTTTATCATGACAAACCAGAATATATATGGTTTAGGGGTGGGGATCTCGACCATTTACAAGCTATTAGAACTTTCTCAAATGGCAGGGAGTCGGGATGACCCCTGGGGACTAACCCTGTATATCATTCAAACCATCTTAGCATGACAAACCAGAATATATATGGTTTAGGGGTGGGGATCTTGACCACTTACAAGATATTAGAACTTTCTTAAATGGCATGGGGTGGGGGTGACCCCTGGGGACTAACCCTGTATTTCATTTAATGGGCTTTATCATTTAGAACATTTTCAGTTAAAAAGATTGTGTCTATCACAAAAGGTTTTCAATTTCTAATCATTTGAAAATTTTAAAATATAAAATCCCATAGGGTTCTATAGTAAAACCCTCTTTTCTTTTTGCCCCTCAAAGTACCCCTTTATAAACCCCATTGCACAAACAAAACCCTGATTGCACCACTAGACATGTTAGTCTAACATATTGTGAAACCCTAAGTTAATCTGACAAGTGGTTTTGGAGAATGGGTGCGGACAAGTTCAAATTTAAAAGCGGCAGAAGAAGAAGAAGAAGAATAAGAACTGAGCAAAAACAATAAGTCTTCCCAAACTTCGTTTGGGAGACTTAATAACCTGTTGGTCAGACAATGGAGGCAAAGTGGTGGCATTGAAGGCTCACAAGGCCTTTTGGCCAGGCGATGTTAAAATCATGTCCAATTTATACATTGCAATGATTCTATACTCCAAATAAAGTTAATATGTTCTAATAATTTGAAAAATTACAAAATTAAAAAAATTGTCATTTTTATGCAGGTATTGTTTTATGATAATGATGTAAAACTATCTATGCCACATGGAAATTTCAAACCTTTAAGCATCTTATGTCCGACATTCTACCAAATCAGATGCAGGCGATACTTAAAGGACAATAATTACGTCTAGTTTGTATACAATTGAATAGAGATAATGGGTGTATATATCTATGAAACAGCAAACTCAAACAAAAAATGTACAAATGTTTGTATCTTTTTATTTTTAATGAGATAACTGTACAAACAATCGATTCATGGATTTCAACAATATCAATAACAATAAAATATCACCAACAAATCACATGTCGATGATAATAAAAATACGGAAACTATCTTAAAAATATTTCTGTTTAAAAAATACAACAATTTCTGTCTCAAGTAAAAATTAAATACTTTATCAATTAAATTCTGCTTTGTTACATGTTTTTTAAGTTACTTGTTTAGTGTAATTACTATGGACAGTTATCAGTAACAGAATGATTTTGTAACATGTAAAGTCATACCAAACAAAGTTAAATATATAGACTAATAGGAATTTTAGTTTCAATCTACTTTTAATAGTTAATGTAATATTTGGAAACATGGATACAAGAAAATTACCACATGAATCCGTTGCCCAATCTATATAATAAAACTAGACAAATTCAGACCTAATATGTATTAATCAGCAAAACATAGATCTTTCCTTGTTATGAAATGATATACATGATATGTACAAATGTAGATATATATAATTTGTAAAAAAATCTTGTTTGATATGTTTAACAACTATAAAATTGTAGAAGGGAAATTATATACATATAAAAAGGTCATAATTTAAAGGAATGTCATGAAAGTGTGAACATCTTTATATCAAACTAATGCAGACATGATTATTAAATACTCCCTTGTTTCTGGTATAAATCTCATTAATTTTGTAAAAAAATCTTTTTGATGATTCAAACTAAAAAAGAAAATATTGTTTCGTTGCTTCCAAAATTTAAAATTTCTCAATTAAGGTAAATCTGGATGATTAATAATTTGTGTAACTAAAGTTTGAGATGCAAAGTTAACCTGCATTGAAAACACAGTTCATTCTGTATTGAAAATGCAGTACAATCAAGAGAAGACAAAACTTTAATTACAACATTTCAATGAATTGGTTCCTAAAAATAAATAACACAAATCAGGTATCTATTGTATGCAACATTTGAAATATTAGCAAAATGATTATTTTACTTTATAACTTCATTCTACTTTCAGAAAGGCAGATTTTTGTATTTAGTTTTATAACAATTCTATCTTTAATATTCATCTTTAAAAACAAGCAGTCTTTAACCAAAACAAAATTTAAAATCATAAAATTTCTCAATTCATCCCTTTTAAAAAAATCACTTATAAAAAATGAAGGAGTTTTAAGTTAAAAAATAATGTCATATAGAATTAAAGAAATGTAATTTTTCAAACTGAATCCATAAATTCACTTTAAAAACATTTTATAAATCTTGCATTTATATAGTAAAAAGATGTAAAACTATGTACATTTCAAAATTCAGCACTAAAATTATGTAGGAATTGATTAAAATACTGAAAAAAGTCAGGGAGAAAACCTATTTACAATATATTTGTGATGGTTTTCTGTCATATTCACAAAATTCTCCACTATTGAGTAAAAATTAAAAATAGCTCTGCATTTCTTTGTTATACAAGTACCCTGAAACTATGTGTGATAAATTCATTTTGAAATATACTTCAAAGAGAAACAATCTTTATGATTGTAATATTGCTATAGTTTATAATTGTGAAGCTGGATTGTCATAAGCGTAAGCTGCTTTTCCAATGTCTGTTAACTGTGAGTCAGCATTGTATAATTTTTCCTTGGTATTAGGTCCCCAGTCAGCTGTTGGCGTTGTTACTATTCTAAGTCTCTGTAAATATAAATAATATGTGGTTAAGTTGATGTTTGATGCAATAATATGTGGTTAAGTTGACGTTTGGTGCAATAATATGTGGTTAAGTTGATGTTTGGTGCAATAATATATGGTTAAGTTGACATTTGGTGCAATAATATGTGGTTAAGTTGACGTTTGGTGCAATATGTGGTTAAGTTGACGTTTGTTTGGTGCAATAATATGTGGTTAAGTCGACGTTTGTTTGGTGCAATAATATGTGATCAAGTTGACGTTTGGTGCAATAATATGTGATCAAGTTGACGTTTGGTGCAATAATATGTGGTCAAGTTGACGTTTGGTGCAACATTATGTGGTTAAGTTGACGTTTGGTGCAATAATATGTGTTTAAGTTGATGTTTGGGGTGCAATAATATGTGGTTAAGTTGATGTTTGCTGCAATAATATGTGGTCCAGTTGACGTTTGGTGCAATAATATGTGGTCAAGTTGACGTTTGGTGCAATATGTGGTCAAGTTGACGTTTGGGGTGCAATAATATGTGATTAAGTTGATGTTTGGTGCAATAATATGTGGTCAAGTTGATGTTTGGTGCAATAATATGTGGTCAAGTTGACGTTTGGTGTAATAATATGTGGTTAAGTTGACGTTTGGTGCATTGTTATCTACAGTGGTTATCAAAAATGTAGATTACTGTGAATCAATTATAATTCATGGAGTACTAATTTTCATGAGTTTTGTATGGATAATTGAACCAAAAATTCTTTGAAAACAGTAATGCATTTCACAGTGAGCAACTCTCACAAAGAAGACCTTTTTGGTCTCTGTCTCTGTCCTGTTTCATTGAATAAAATTCTTAATTTTTAAATCCAACATTGTGCTATTTATGAAGCAACACTGCCAAAAAACAATTAATTAAATAATTGAATATTTCAGTGTATACTCACTTCAGTGACTTTCCCAGGAGTGATGATGAATTTATAAACAAAGTACAAAGGTATAGGACATGACACTACGGCAGTCACTATCCATCCAATAATCTGGGCGAATTCTGGGAAAAATACTCCATCTTTTACTTTAGGTGGTACATACTCGATTAGACGGTATGCAAACAGACCCTGTAATGTAAAGTCAACATGATACATAAGCAATGGTTAAAATATTACTTTAATTTAGGTACATAGTCAATCTCATGGTATACAAACAGACCATGTAGTTTTTCCCAACAACATAAATTGTCAAAAATCTGTAAAATTTATTCAGTATGAGCAGTGAAAACAAGTAATGAATGAAATATAGAATAGTCTTAAAATATTATTTTACACTATATAAGACCTCCTCTTTTCTTTTATTCCTAGATGCATGGTGTTTAATTTAGTAATAGTTAACTATACGTTTTTGTTTACTTTTGCTTGAACCTTTCTTTTTTTCCAGAGAAGTGGGATGTTGTTGGTTGTTGTGGTATTTTGTACTGTTCACAGCATGTTGTGGAATTTTGTGCTGATTTTTATCACAATATAGGCCCTTAGACAATTGAGCATTTTGATCTCTGTTGTGCACTACCTATAGCTATGCACAATACAATTAAATAGGAAGTATAAAAATGTTAAGAAGAGTATATTTGAAAAGATTTCATATACTCATAAAAACATTTTTGAATTGTTTTACATTGATATTTTCGGGGCTTTTTATAGCTGACTATGCAGTCTGGGCTTTGCGCATTGTTGAAGGTCGTACAGTGACTTATAGTTGTTAATTTCTGTGTCATTTTTGTCTCTTGTGAAGAGTTGTCTCATTGGCAATCATACCACATCTTTTTTATATTTCCTGATATACAGATTATTTTAAAAATATCTAAAAGTTTTATACATAGAGTAAAGATGATTAAACCTGAAATTCTGTATATTCATAAATTTTTGCATACATTTATTATTGCGATTTTTTAAAAGTGGATAAAAATTTGAAATTTATTGTTATTAAGTCTAATCTGCATAAATATATATGCATCAGGTGTCATAATGCATGTAATTATTGCAATCGCATCCAGTCCTCGCAATAATTTCTGAACAGTATATTACTTACTTAAGAAGTTGTGAAGCTGACACCCAACAAAACAACCAATATGTTGTTGGTGCTGGGGTTTTACCCAACATAAATTCAATATCTTTTATAAATCTTGTCACTCCTGTGAAAAAAAGTAAAAAGAACAATTTTTTTTGGTATGAAAAATAATTAATTTAAAGTATCTGATGAAAAAGTTGGTTCATAAGGATAAAGGGAAGATAACTCAAACTGAAATTTTAAAACAAATAATATACGTTAGGGAAGAATTTTTGAGTTAAAACCGGATAGCTTTGTATACATCAAGTGTGTTGTCATGTAACAGCATGGCATTCTCTAAATTGTGCCATGGACTGAACATTCCTACTTCGACTAGACAATCATGTCTGAATGGTTTTGCACTGCTCATTTATAGCTTGCTGTTCGGTGTGAGCCAAGACTCTGTGCTGAAGGCTGTACTTTGGCCTATAATGGTTTACAAATTGTGACTTGGATGGAGAGTTGTCTCATTGGCACTCATACCAAATCTTATTTCTTGATCTTCATGTTTAGCTGCTTGATTTATGATAAATCATGAAAATTGTTAAAAAAAAAAATCATCTTAAATTCATTTGGCCATGAATATTTTTGTTGATTTAAAGTTGATGGTTCATTCATATGTTCATAAAGAAACATGATGTTCATCTTCACTTAAAACCCTTTTAACTTCCTTGTTCACAGAAAATACGACTGACTTACCATAAACCCATAGTAAGGATACACATTCACAAGTGGCTACACACAATACAGAGAAATCACTCACCATAAACCCATAGTACGGATACACTTTCACAAGTGGCTACACACAATACAGAGAAATCACTCACCATAAACCCATTGTACGGATACACATTCACATGTGGCTACACACAATACAGAGAAATCACTCACCATAAACCCATAGTACGGATACATTTTCACAAGTGGCTACACACAATACAGAGAAATCACTCACTATAAACCCATAGTATGGATACACTTTCACAAGTGGCTACACACAATACAGAGAAATCACTCACCATAAACCCATAGTACGGATACACATTCACATGTGGCTACACACAATACAGAGAAATCACTCACCATAAACCCATAGTACGGATACACTTTCACAAGTGGCTACACACAATACAGAGAAATCACTCACCATAAACCCATAGTACGGATACACTTTCACATGTGGCTACACACAATACAGAGAAATCACTCACCATTAACCCATAGTACGGATACATATTCACAAGTGGCTACACACAATACAGAGAAATCACTCACCATAAACCCATAGTACGGATACACTTTCACAAGTGGCTACACACAATACAGAGAAATTACTCACCATAAACCCATAGTACGAATACACATTCACATGTGGCTACACACAATACAGAGAAATCAGCGCCATAACTGTCCATCAATCCTGCTATATAATCTCCTGTCTGTAAAAATAATAAAACATCATTTACAAACAAGACGGAGTTCAATGCATGCAAACCACTTCATCTAATTAGACTACAGTAATTTCTTTAGAGATAATCTCAAGTCAATTTACATCAGTCTCCAATTTTGGAACTAAACAATATCTTAATATCTAAAACTCTGCACAAATACTTCAATATATTTTAACAACTATATAAAAATATTACAAAGACTTTATACTTTGTCAAATTCTTTGTTATTTTACCTCATACTATGCACTCTTAGCCATTTAAGTATTCTTATTAAACTAAAATAGTGATTGTCATTTTGGTGTTCTCTGTATCTTTTTAAATTTTATCAAGAAACATTTTGTACTCCTCTACCCTTTGCCACAGTAAAAAACATCTTGCATTGTCCTTCAAAACCATATCAATTTCGTTACAATTTGTTTAAATATTCTTTACATTATTTTATTCACAATTGCTTATAAAAGTAGAGTCTGTTTTGTATAAAATAAATAAAAAAGTACCAGAGTTATTTCCCTTATATTGTAACTATTTTTTTTAGAATTTTCAATGATACATTTAATATCAATTTAGATAAAATAGACATTTTGTTAAAGAGCAGAAAATAAAATAATTACTGTTCAAGAAGAATAAAATACACATGAGACTTTAAAGCTACTGGTGTGACATGTCAAGGCCAAGAAGAAACCCACCATGTGCACCAAAACATACATATGAGCATAGTTGCCAACTGACATGATATTCGCGTGTAATACACGCTTTTTCAACGGTTTACACGCGAGGATTTTGTCACATGGCGTGTACACGCTTTTCACCACTTTACACGCAATTACACGCTTTTTCGTTGTTTTGAATTTTTGGTCGTTAGTGATATCGCGATTCTCGGGTTTTTTTCATAATTAGACGATAAATACCAAAAATTTCGAAGAAATTGTTTGGTCACCATTGTTTATTTTTCTATATGGACGAACAGCAAAAGTAAGTAGTTTGTGATTAGTTTTTAGGATTTTGTGACTTTCTTTCTTTCAAACTCATGTAGGGGAAATGTCCACAGAAAGAGGTCGCTTTCAGGACCTGTACCGTCGTCTAAAGAGCCGATTGTTAAGTGAAAACGATGTGTACGTCTAAGATTCAAGATTTATAAATTATATTTGGGAGTTCGAGTTTAAATGATCGAGGGACGAGTAACGCATTGTGCACCCTATGTGCAATCATAACAATACATGTGAGAGGTGAACTACAATGTAGCTATTTGATTAAGCATTTAACGTGTTTAATGGTAATCAAATAATAAAATATTTTTCTTTTTCAGTTTCAAATCTAGCCAACAGATTTCCACAGGCCATAGGGGATGGAAATATCACGGAACTGTTGGAATAGTTCTCATAGTACCAGCTGTCTTCTGATGAACTACCTAGTTTTGACCAGGCAATAGCAACATATATAGTTTGTTGGGAGCAATGGCAGAGATAATAGAAGACATTTTAGATGGCAAAAAAAAAAAACGTTATGACACTTGTTCAAAGCTTGATAAAGCTATTTTAGTTCAGCCAATATAAATTCTGACTGTGAGAGAGCATTTTCAATTATAAAGAAATTCACAATGAATTCTGATCAGAACTTGACAATGATATATTGTGTGCCTTGTTATCAAGTAAATGTAACCAAACTGGCAGTTGTTTTGAATTTGTACCTAGTGGTGTTGCTTTAAAAGCAGCAAAACAGACCACTGTTGATACAATAAAAGTTTATAGTAGAATATTGTTTTTTATATTAACAAATTTGTATAATCAATATGTGAAATTATGAACATTGTTCATATTAAAAAGTCCGCATCTATGTCGCGCGTTTTCACACGCTTTTTGACATGTCATGTCATGTCATGACATGATTTCACATTGTCAGAGGTTGGCAAGTATGCATATGAGCACGAATATAATACTCACTTGCATAACACACCTCAAAGCCAAGAAACACACAATTCAACAATACACATATGACTTTTATACTTACTGGTGTTATACATGGTAAAGCCATAAAGAAACATATCACTCCCAATCCAATACACATGTGACTCTTATATTTTCTAAGTTTTGGGAACTCATCCTGTATACATGTCAAAACTGTCTCCAATAAAGCAAACTGCAAAATAAAAATAGGCATTACATATCACAAAACTCAAAGAATTACAGCCGATTTCAATGAGTGTGTAAGCAAAGGTAATAGTATTGGTTAGCTTGCATGCTAGCTGAACCGTGAAGACTAGGTTAGGTAAACTATCCTCCTTTTAAGAGTAGACTAGTCCAATAGATTATCTGTTTGTAGGACTAAGCTACTTTGAAAGGAGGGTAGTATACCTTACCTTACAATGACTTCATGGTTCAACTAGCAAGCAAGCTAACCAAAGATATTACCTTTGCCTACACACTCAATGGAATCGGCTGTAACAGTTGATTCTGTTTCATACTAATCTATGACTATCTTACAAACTGGACTTGTTGGTATTTCATAGGGAACCAATGCTTTATAAAATAAAACTTGCCTATAGGTTTGCATAGAAATAGTCCACAACAATATAATTATTCCTAAATCCATAAAAAATAAAAGAATCCACAGTATTATTATCATTGCACAAATTAAAAAAAAAATGTGGGGAATAATATTCAAGTTTTGTTAAGAGTATAAGACGAAATTATCATACTAATGTAATAGATGGGTTATTTCCAGTCAAAAATTTGAAAAAAATCCTGGTCTTTTACAAAATTTATTAGAAAAGAACTCCTGTAGTTTATATTACCATTAAACACGATTTATAGGTGCAAAGGGGAGATAATCCTTTTCCTTTAAATAAAATGTACAACTATCTGTCTTACCTCACTGTCAAGTCCAAGTGTAAACAACATGAAGAAAAACAAAACAGACCATAATTGAGGTAGAGGTAGGTTAGACAATGCCTCAGGGTAGGCTACAAAGGCTAATCCATAAATTGTAACAGAAAAAAATATAATTAATGAATTGTATTTTCTACTAGAGATTTTTTTGTTTGTTTTAACAGATTCTGAACAGAGTATCATTTCTGGATTGTTGTGATAGTCTCAGTGGTATCAAATTCAATATCAAATATCATCTTTGATTAAAATCCTAAAGGAAAATATGAATTAAGAAATAATTCATGGCAGCTGTAGATTTGTGGCTGCCATGAATTATTTGGATTCTAATGGGACAAATTCAGTAATTTTGTTAACTGTGATAGCCCTATACGCAAGATACTGTTTTGGCTGTTCCATTTTACCCCCATATGATAATATTATATAATTTTATAAAACAAAAAAATTTAAATCGTATTTTTCACCTACATATGTTCTTCTAATGTAATTTTATTGCATTCTGAGATGTATAGAAGCTTTAAAACACTGAGTGTTTACATTTGATTTTTTGATTACGAAAACATACATATGATGTCACCTTGTTTCATTGCCATGCAAAGACGATAATATTTCATGAAATTTTCCTTTGATGAAATTTCAGCACGAAAAAAATAAATTGAAATGGACTGATATGTTTATTTTGCTTTAGAATAGATATAACTAAATGGTATCTGAATCTTGGACTATATTCTGTGGGTTTTAATGTCAAAATTTGAGAATACCTGGTAGTATAATTAAGTTGGGCGTAACACAGAACAGCTAGTTTTATGTAGTTATGTGCTTGCGCTAAAAGTAGATATACTATGATTATGCTGGTTGACGATAACAGGTTGTCATATTAGAATTTAAATTTTAAAATAGCTTTACAAATAAAGACCTAAGGCATGCTACAAGAAAATTACAAAGTAATTTATGGTATGGCAAACTATTTCTTCATCTAAATCTATTCCATAATCTCTACAATGTATTGAAAAGTAACGTTTGATTAAAAATGGAAAACATCCTTGCTTACCTCCCCTGGCAACTTCTGAGACTTGAAGTCGTCCTGTTTTCTTAGCTAATCCTCCAAATGTTGTAAAGATGACAAAACCTGCTATTATACTGGTAACCAGATCCATTACAGCGATTAACAAGGCATCACTATAAATATAAACCAGTGTTTAAATAATAAAACATGACTATTAAAACATACTATAAAGGCCCTACAGATGAAGCTAGAAATAAAAGAATTTGTCACACAAATGCCATGCTCAAGCTTTGCAATTTTCGAGTTAAAAGGGATCTATTTCTAGAACGGTAAATGAATCACTACCCAAATTCAAACTGTCTGTAAGCATTGCGTATGAATTTCATTAGTTTGTAGCACTGTGTATGAGTTTCATTAAAATTGGATGAGGCAAGCTTTAGAGTTAAGAGTGCAGAAACAAAATTGGACAGACAGAAGGTAATAGTTAACTATAATAAAAATAATTACCAAAAAATAACTGACCATGTTAATTACATTACATCCCATCATATTTGATCATATAAATATAAATAAAGACTTAAATTTTCTGTCAAGGAAAATTAATCTTACCCGTATACATTGTTGCTGAATTTGTTGTAACTTCCAAACATTATAATTCCACCAAACGATACACTGAGAGAGAAAAACATCTGTCCTGCTGCAGCAACCCATACCTATAATAAATAAATTATATATATGTTAGACTCAGATTGACGTCCGGTCTCTAATCGACGTCCTTTCCTCAAATCGACATCCAATTCGGACGTCACATTCTCAAATCGACGTCCAATTGTTTGATCCTCTAATCGACGTCCAATGTGCCGTCATGTATTGCCAAAACGATGTCTGATTTATTGTAGTCTTCTCTTATCGATGTTCAATATCAAAGAATAATACAAAAAAGAAATTGCTGCACTTACACTTATACATGTACATGCATATTAATAAATGGCATATGCGTATACTTAAATAAGAACCCAACGACAAAGAAAACAAAACAACATATATATAGGGCAACACTCAGTTTTCAACAATGGACAAAATAAAGAAGTAAATGCCAACTGTTAGAGTATTATAATTTGGACTCTGTAAGAATTTTTTCAACAAATTCATTTGTTTTACACCTGGAGTGAAAAATATACAAAATAAATTGGCATTATGTTTTTATGTTGTGCTGTTACACCACTGTTTCAGGTTAGGGGAGGCTTAAGCGCTCACAAACATGTTAAACCCTGCCAAATATTTTATGTGCCTGTAGTCTAGTGGTTGTCCTTGGTTTATGTCTTGAATATTTGTTGTTCAGAATTTTTTTTGTTTTTTGTTTTATATGTTTCATGTCGTGACCTTTAATTGCCGACTTTATCATTCCATGATTCATTGTTGAAGGACGTACGGTATAGATATAAGAAGATGTGGTATGAGTGCCAAAAAGACAACTCTCCATCCAAGTCCCAGTTTATAAAAGAAAAACATTATAGGTCAAAATACAGTCTTAAACACAGAGCCTTGGCTCACACCGAACAGCAAGCTATAAAGGTAAAGGGCTATATAATTGCTTACATTCACTTCATTTGAACTCTGGTGTAAAGTTGTCCAATTAGCAATCTCACCACATCTCATTGTTTTTAATAGGCTCTTAAATTACATAAAAATTGATATCACAACCTGTAAACATTGGTAATACATTTAAAAAAAAGATTTTTAAATATATTTTATTTGTCACATAACCTATGTTTTGGTTGTAAAAATATTGACCTAGAACTGTCTTTACTACTTTTTTTATATTTATTTTTCTCGGACAATCCACGTTTCAGTTCTGTTATAAACTTTGCTTGTCCCCATTTCCGCAGTTTTGTTCATTTGTTTTAGATATATTTCCGTATAATACGGCATGTTGGCCAAAAATGTCTCTGCGTTTGCATCTTTCCATAGGTCCATTAAAACGGACAGCGATTAGAGAAGCTTAAATTTGAACGTCGATTAGAGGAGCCAAACATTGGACCTCGGTTAGAGGGGGATATAATTTGCCGCTGATTTGGAATCTTATTTTATTGTGACGTCAGCTTTGGACATCGATTTGAGGAACGGACGTCGATCTGAGTCTTACATATATATATGTTGTAATACATAATTTTAAAGATAAAATAAATATGTCCTTCAAATTAAAGTAAAACTTTTTCCTTTATAATTTTTTCAGGGCTATTAAAGCAATGGAAGGCCCTAAAACATATTGTGGTACTAGACAGACATGGGTAAAGGAACTTTTAACAATATATCTCATAGTAAATAGTCTGCAGTCAGGAATATCAACCTCCTTAGTTTCCCCTCATAAGGTATCATTGAAACTCACAAGCTGAAATACAAATTGCCCCCAGCATAGAAGTGAATTTTAATTTAAAAATATTTACAAATTAATCTTAAGGTGGTACCAAACACCTTGATTAAAAAATTTCATTGGATATATAGCAGTTAGACAAACACTAATTCTGATCATTGAGAACCTAATACTTCCTTAACATAATACAACATTATTAAAACACTCAGCTGATTTTTAGAGTTATCTCCCTGTAGTGTTAGGTACCAACTTGAAAGAGTTACAAATCAAAGACTTCTCAAATTTTAGGTACCCATGGTATAAAAAAAACACTATAATTAATTGACAAACACAGGGAATTGAATTTAAAACAAAATTCAGTACAATTGTCTATGATGATAATGACCACTATTTCTGTAAGTATATCTTACAATCATGACTCATATATATACCTTTAGATCTGCTAGTTTGGACCATTCAGGTATCAAAAAATATTTTACTCCATCAATAGCACCATCAAGTGTAGCTCCTCGGATCAACAAAATCAACAAGATAACATATGGGAATGTGGCTGTGAAATATACAACTTGAAAAGATAAAAAGTAAAAGTTCCAGTCCAGCAAAAAATAAAAAAAGATTTATGGGTTGAAAACCTACAAATAAATTCATATATTAAAATGCTAAGTTATATCAAAGCCACCTAAGTTCATCGAAAACAATCCCCCTTTACAGAATGCATCCAAATTGAATATTTGTAAAATGAACTTAATGGCATCCTGCACAAACTTTGAAAATGCGTCAATAGCTTCTAACAGAACTTTTATCTCCAAATGTTACAATTTCAAAGGCTATATTGACAGTATCAATGGTAATAACAGAACAATTACTCAATCTGTCTTGGTAAAGTAAAACATAGTTTGTCTGGCAAAAATAAACAAATCTTGTCAGCTTAGGAATGAGCAAATCACTGTCGATTAAAAATCTATTCATTTCAAAACATATGATGTATAAATTTGCAAGGCAAACTATGGTTAATCAAACAAATATAAATAAGATCACACACACTTCCATTTCAAAGGTGCTCTATCAAATTATATTGTCTTAAACACACAAAATATAAATGAATGTGCTCTATATTATTAGACATTGACTTGCATACATCTATATCATAACACTTACTTTTCCAGATGACTTAATTCCCCTTACTAAACAGAGAACAACAACAATCCACGACAACAGCAGACAGAGTGCTAACTTCCATTGTGGATTTCCTGTGTCTGGGTAGAAATCATCAGCCTTGTTCATTACAGTTTTACTGAAAAAGAAATTGTTCTAAGAATAGGGGTGGTATTAATCTTACAGATAACATCCATTTCATATTTAAACTATTTGGATTGTTGTAGTTGTACAAAAGACAACTGTTACTGTAGATTCCTTTTTATTTGTTAGATATTAATTTTCTGGGTTTTGTTGGAATAGGTGAACCAGGAAATTAAATGCTTAACGATTACATGTACAAATGTTCTATTGCCTTGAACACAAACATTGGTAAAATCATGAAATAAAATACCCACGTAAATAGGCTACTTGCCAATTCCCGTAATTGACCCTGTAATTAAAGATCCCTTTTTTAGTTGTCTCCCTTATGAGGGACATTAATTTTTATTTACAATGGAGAGCCAGCAGAAAGAGCAAATTTACCTGTGCGTAATGTGAGTAATCTTTAAGGTTTTTAAATCTTATGATTACATTAATTTGTTGTTCAGCTAAATACTTTTGACATCAGAAATTTTTTTTAATGAAAAATTAGTTAAACCGACGATACATCACTTTCAATTCATCATGCTTTGCATTGGTAAATGCCAATTTTGTTCGGTATGGAACCAGTCGACGATTGACAAAGGGAAGTAATTTGTTTGAAAAGTGTGTAATAACAGAATCAAATTGGTAATTGGCAAATGGACTATTGGTACCCACGAAAATTAAAGAATCCAAAGTATATAATTATATCTTTCTTTACAAAAATAAAGTTTCAGGCCGAAAGACGTGTCAATTTTTTAACCTGATTTCAGTTTTAAAAAGCAGATTTTATATATACTACTGTAAAATTTATAAACTTAACAAACATCCTTCCATAAAATTTATGACCTTGAATACTATGACCTACTCAAAATACAGCTGTGCTACAGGTACTGGGACATCTCCTTGGTATGTGACATTAGTACCGTTAAATCCCTGGTCAGACAATATAGAATCTGTACCGTTCAAAAAACATCTACACGCTTTGTTATCAGTCAATAATTGTGTAATGTTCATAGAGCAATAGTCTAATCTCTGTGTCGACTGCTCCACACATCCTAATGGTAACCATTCCTACAATACAAACATTGGAAGGTTAACTACATCTAGGTCTTGTTACAAGAATGGCTATATATTAAAAGACAATTGTGATATTAATTAAACATCCAGTGGCAAATATTACATGAATAACTTTTATTTAGAAGACACCAATGTATATGAATTGATATCTATAAACCCAGTTTTAGTTCTCATTTAATTGTTTTATAAAATGTTTCATGGTGATTTCATAGTCGACTATAAAGTATTTTTTTCTCATTTTTTAAGACTGTCGGGTGACCTTTAATTGCATATATCCACATTATACTTATTCATATGGTGGATAGTTGTCTCATTGGCAATCATACTCCATCTACTTATTTTTATATGAGTACTTGGCTGAAACTCTTTGAGCCAAGTGGTTTAACAATCCCTTTCAAAATTTATGGTGGACTTATCATGGCAGTTTAGAACATATATGGTTCTGGCAATGGGATCTGAACAGTTTTTTTAAATATATCTCAGAAAAAATAACTAAATAAGGTTTTGACATTTTAGCGCAAAACATGCCTGCTATATACAGTTACACAATATTGCAAATTCACATGTTGTAATATTTTTAATACCATCAATAATCAAAATGAATTGATTAGTATGTCCCTAGTAAGTAGTGTTTTGTATAAATGCTCAAAATGGCAGCTTTAGGTCAGCTTCAGGCATTCATTTTAGTCAAGTGTTCAGAAAAAGGCCATTATGTTTTATGAGACTCGAGTGCATATACTTGAAACTAACTGAATTTTAGTCAAGTTTAGTTACTTCTCGAAAATTCCCATAATGAGAAAAAAGCTTTTATGTCTCATTGGCAATCATCATACCTCAATTCATTTCAATCTGTGGATTCATTTATTTTCTTGGGTATCAATTAGGGTGGATTGAGGAAAACTTGCATTTTTGTTGATATTTGATTTCGTGATTTTGCAAACCTCTGCTTACAAAGCCTATAGAAAATGTGTAATTCGTTGTACATTTATATTCATGGTTCACCTGTACCCACAAAACCGACGAAAATTGGTATCCAACAATAATGAATCCACAGTATATGGAAAATTGAGCAAAATTTTGAATAATAACTGTTTCCTCATTTTTATAATGTCCATCTTGAAACTGTTCCAAATCCCTAGTCTAGACCATACTTACATCTTCACAAACAGTCCAGGGTAGAGTTTTCTGCATGGAGGAGAAGAAGTAGATCAGTGTATAGGCCATGATCACATTATAGTAGATTGCAACTACTAAGGATATTAGAGCCATAGATATACATGATATACCAATACCTGCAAAGTTAATACATTTGTATAAGATTTATATTCAGTGTATACATGTAGGCCATGATCACATTATAGTAGATTGCGACTAATAACGATATTAGAGCCATAGACATACCAATACCTGCAAAGTTAATACATTTGTGTTATTTATATTAAATACGAAATAAATTATTTTATAACATGAAGAAATTGAAAATATTTTGTATTATGTAATAAATCTTTGTACAAAATTCATCATTTACAATACATTAAACCTGCATAAAATTATTTTGTATAAAATTCTACACCTATAGATTCCACATTTACAAATGAAAATTGTAAATGTATTTTAGATATACTTCAATATTACATGTACCAGCAAACTTTTCTCATCAGATGTGGAAAAACAATATAAGTGTTTAATACCATTAGGCAAAATAAGATCAAAATAAAAAAAAATAATTCTAGGTTGCCAAATTCCACAATGAAACGTTTTTTGTAGGTGAATTAAAACCCTATTTTTATTTCTTTCAAACATCACATATCTTAAAAATGTCTCTCCATCATCATCTCAAACTTCAAAGATTGAAACACTAATTATAAATTAAACAAATAATAAACCAATGATTTTTTTCTTCAAACCATGAAATATCAATTAACAAATACTACTACAAAAACACTATTACCTTTAGCACTTGGGTTCATTTTCCAAACCCCTGTTGGTCCTAAACTAGAGAATTGACCCATTACTAACTCCATGAAGTACATGGGCTTTCCTATCAGGAACTGTAGGACTAAATAAGCAATCAGGAAGGCAGCTGAAATTAAGAAAAAAAATGTGAATAAAATTCTCAAATATTAAGATATATGATTGTTTGTTGGTTTATTTGACTGAAAATTTGTATGCAAGTAACCCATCTTGCTGCCACAGTTGTGGACCCTGCTGCCACAGTTGTGGACCCTTTGTACACAGATCAAATATTGAAAAGATTGTCATCTGCAACAGTTAAAGCAGTTGGAAGATTTTTTCATTGACTTATTGAGTTCTTCCACCAAAATCTTTTTACTTATAAAACAATAAAACAATTTACAATATAGTTTTATCTATGATATGAAATCCAAAACTAGAACTTGTCTCTATTTATATTTGTGTCACATTCTCATTAGAAATATTTAGGTGTGATGCGACTTGTGATGATGGTTAATTAGACATTTAATATGTGAATGGCATACAATACCATGATGAACAGGAGATGCTGATACTTTATAATGATTCCATGCATTATGCATTGTTGCCTATAGAAAAAACTTAAAATACTCAATAAATATAAATTTTAAAGTATAAATCTCTATTTTTCTAGCATGAATCTGGCAGCTAATGACACTTTAATCATTTAACATGTTTAGTTTCCTTACAGACTAACAGACTTGGGGCAATTGTAATTGTAATCGTTAATCAGCTGTAATTGATTACAATTTTTCAAGTAATCATTGTAATCATTAATCAGCCAAAAATCTGATTACATGTAATTTAATTTAATCAATTACTTTTCAAAATACCCTGTAATCCTGATTACTTTTTGATTACATTCTGATTACAATGAAAAAAATCTTAAACTGTGTTTATGGTCAATAAATGAACCTTTTAGTTATTCTTATTTTTAAATAAATATTTAATACGTTTAAATAGTTTGGTTTACTTTATAAATCATGTTAATTGATTATTAGACTTCAGTAAAAAATAAACTGTTACAGTATTGAAAAGTCATCATAAGCCTAAGAACAGACATATAATACAATTATATGTCTCTGGCCTTAGTAAAAGATATTGTACATATATTCACAATTTAAAGATGTACATATATATATTTGATAATAACTGTTATATTTAAGTATACTTTTCTTTAACCCTGAATTATAATCTTTTGTTAATATTGTGATTTTTGTCAACTTTGAATTGACAGGTAGGAAACCAATTAAGGTTTGTTTTTATTGCAATTACCAATTGAGTATAGCTATAGGACAATATATATGATAAGAGATTAATCAGACATGTGGACATGGTGGAAATTTATCTAATTAGCACAAACTAAATTAAAAGTTGGACAAATATTTTGCTTAAAATAAGCAAATTTTTGTATGTATTTGGACTGGACATGTAAAATTCAATGATTTTAGTACTTGTTTATGTTTACAATTTGATTTAACAATTCTATTAACATTTTACATATTCAGATTTTTTTTTTAAAATTCATTGTAATCAGATGTAATCATGATTACTATGCCAATGTAATCATTAATTTAATCAGACACTTTCAGAAATGATGTAATCATTAATTTAATTTAATCGTACAAATGACAAAGTAATTGTAATTTAATCAATTACATTGAAAACAATCGACCCATCTCTGCAGACTAACAGTAAATCTTTTCTTCTATAAATTTTGGCTTTGTGAAAGGGTTAAAAAGAGTTATGTCAGACAATGTAAATTTGCAATTTACTAATTCAGAACAATAAAAACTTTTAAGTCAGACTTTTGGTTAGAATAACTTGATTCTGTCTATGTATCTATTACAAGCTAGAAATTTAATGAAAAATCTGCAGTGTGAAGGTGTTAACCATAATTTACATACATGTATCTAGTCTACATGTTCTTACTGTTTTCTTGTCAAATCATTTAATATTATGCTAAATTTCAGACTAAAATTAATCTTTACATTATAACATATGAAATAATTTTAATACATGTTTAAATTCAATCAGTTTTCACATTGGTAACACATGAAAGACATGTCATTAAGTTGTCTACATTTCAATTTACAAATCATTTCCAAAGATTTCTTTCAGTGAGTCATAACTATACAATGTACAAATATACACCTAGTTAAGAAGCAGTAAAGATCGATCAGATTTTAAATATTTGGGTAAAACATGATTGTCTTTTAAAAAACAACGCCATAAAAACCAATCAACTTAAATGATTTAGTCAAACAAAACCTGTTGTACCAGTTATTGTCAGTACATTTATTCTTTAAAATATTAACTCCTTTAATTTGTCCTTACATGTATATGAGATACATGCAGTGATAAACTATTATTGCATTCATTAATTGTTCCCATACATTTCAGCTGTTAAAATGATTGTAATTAATAGGTAAGAGTAGATTCTTCAAATTGACAATGACAATTTACCCTGATTGACCTTCAGTCAACTGTGGTAACTTGTTCGTAAAAATGAACATTGGGCTAGTCAGCCTAGTGGCCATGCAATATCTTACTATCTAGATCATTGATTATCAACTAGTATTGTAAAATAAGCGCTCCGATATATTTCACTTAACTATGTTAATTTAAATCGCGCATTAATGTGTCATTCAATGGTATAGTTCTATTTATCATTTAATTAACGTAAGCTTTAACAGCTATAAACATGAATAACAGTAATACCTCCTCCATTTTCATAGGCCAGGTAAGGGAAACGCCATACATTTCCTAATCCTACAGAAAGTCTAATGCATGACAGAATAAACTCCCATTTGGAGCCCCATTGTCCTCTATCTTCAGTATCTTCGTCAACATTTACATCAACATCTCCATTCCGTTCTTTTGAGCCATTATTTACATTGTAGCTATCTTTTGTGTCTATCTGCAATTAAAACTGTAGAAAATAGCTTTAATAAATAAATCAGATTCATCTAGTCTTGAGTTATTACAAGTCATAGAAGATATACATTTTGCATTTCTGGTTAAAATCCTGATAAGGCCTGAACAAAATATAGTTATATTATCTGCCTCGCTATCCCTTCCCTTAATTTTTATGCTGACCCTAACAGATATTATGAACATTCTATTGTTTGAGCACAATTTACAATGATTAAGTCCCAAAATTCTCCATGAATTGTACATGTTATATAGTGTTAAAAAATAAAACGATTTTACCTGCCATTACCTCTTGTTTCTGCCAGGAGATAGGAACCATTAAAATCATGTGTGTATGTTTGTTTATTGGTAGCAATTTTATTTTCTTTCATTGATCATTTACAGTAGATTCATTTATTTTCGTGAATATCAATTTTTTCGTGAATTAAGCTAAAATTGTATTTTTGTGGATATTTGTTTTCATGGTTTCGACAAAGTCTGTATAAATGCCAATTTAAAATTTCTTCTTCATTGATCAGTTAATTTCGTGGTTTACCTGCAGTATATACCAATTGTTGTCCAATGAATAATAATGAATCCAGTTTTTATAAAAAAATCAGTGATTTTCCTAGTATTTAGGGGAAAGGGCCCATATCCCGGCCAGGGCCCATGCAATTGGGAATAAAAGTTCGTGAAATGTTGGATTTGGGGAAAATATATTAGTTCATTTATCATGTTTATACCGATGGCTCAAGGGGATATTTTAATTATTGACTGGCAATAAAATGAGACAATTTAAATCATGTTACAAATGTACAATAGTTAGGCAAAGTGAAAATATATGTGTGGTTCCAGTTACATACTTTTAAGAAAAAGGGTCGGTAGGGCGGCAATTTTTTTTTTTTTTTTTTAATTTTTATTTTGGATTTCCAAATTTCGGAAAAAAATTGTGTGTTTACCGAAATTGATTGTAGTATTATACACGCCCCTACTGGAAGTTCGCCATTTTAACATGTGTTTGGTTGTAAAACAAGTAATAGCTTTTCTAAAAAGCTTGCCGTATTTTAGCTGCTTATACATGTATTGAGATCGGTGGTTTGTGGGTATAGGGTTTTTTATTGGAATCTTGCGCTCCAAGCATTAGAATATATAGTGTCTTTTTTCTCCTGGTTTTTTATTTTAGTTGTAGTATTGGTGAATCAGGGTTATCATTGAAGGAGGCTTGATAGTCACATATGATAATATATATATATGGTTTGTAATAGCTAGAGTAACGATACAAACACTTTTTTGTTTGTTTTGTGGAATATGATTGTTTACTCTTTATGACAATGCAAGTAGTTTTAACATGCATACTGTGTCTTGACAGTTATGTAATAGTTAGCAAGGTTATAATCAAGTTGATAAGAAAAACGTATTATTTACTTTTGAGGATTACTGCTAGACAAAATGGACTACCAGTGGCAGATCTAGAAATTTTCATAAGAGGGGGCCAGCTCCAGTCATGCTTCAGTGATTCACTACATGTATATGATCAACCAAAGTTTCCCCACGAAAGGGGGAGGGTCCCCTGAAAAACTCTCTAAATCCGCCTCTGACTACTATAGTTGGCCGTTCGAATATGAGAATATTACATCTTATATGTATAGAAGACAGTGATCTCTTTAGCCCAAATTAAAAGGGCGCCGCACCCTGGGTGCCCTTAGCCACGCCCTGGGTGCCTTCAATTGCGCCCCTCCCTGACGCCTTTTTCCAAGGGGGGGGGAGAGAATAGTAAGTTTATTTCGCTTCTTTTGGTTAATAGTAATCTGATGTATGAATGTGTATTGCCATGTTTTATGAAGATGTAGTATGAATGACTTTTCTAATGCAAATTTTATAGAGTAAATAATCAAAACAACAACTTATGCATCTTTATTAACAACATATACAGTAAAAAAAAAAGTGAACTTGTGATACACACAGAAACGTAGACAAAAGAAATGAGAAGTGCCTTTTCCTATCATAAAAAAGTGCCCTGCCCTTCACTGACACCCTGCCCCTTTCCATTTCTAGCTGGAGCACTTCAAGTGATGAATATCTCATCTGGCTTTTGTCTTAGAAGAAG